CAGGAAATTAAAAAATATTTTAAAAATTGGAAAATGTCACATCAAGTTGCAAAGTTGTAGCCTATCCAGAAAAACCAGAACACAGCAATCAAGGGGACACATTCCCACCTGGCCTTGGCCCTCTTTGGGAGAACCTGCTGTCCAGGGCACTAGGGCTCCTCTGTTCCTACTTATTTTGTATTTTTTTTTTTGGTATTGGGGATCGAACTTGGGACCTTGCCCTTGCGAGGCAGGCGGCAGAACCACTGAGCTAAATCCCCAGCCCCCTCTTTACTTTTTAAATAACAGCTTTATTGAACTAAAATTTGCATACTCTGTGATTTATAAACTTAAAGTGTTATTCAGTGAATTTTAGCATATGGAGTGTTGTATGCTAAACCACGACCACAGTCAAATTTAGATCATTTTTGTTATCCCAAAACAAAACACTCTGCCCACTATTATCTCTCAATAACCAGTGCCTCCCAATCTGGGCAACCTCTGACTACTCGCTATTGTCATAGATTTTCCTATGCTGGGAATCTTTTTAAAAGTTCAAAATAGACCATACTCATAGCAACCATAAAGAACAGAACATATGCAAAAAACCCCCCAAAACAAATAGAAGTCCTGCAAAGTGAGTTCTTACACCACACCAGAGTGAAACTAGAAATCGACAGCAGAAACATGCTTAGAATACAATAACTTTTTTCTTTCTCTCTTATTTCCTATTATCTGTCTTTTATTTCATACTTTACATATTAACTTTTTCATATTAATATATAACATGAAATGTGATGCTCAAGCTTGTGTGTCTGATTTACGTCACTTAAAATTATGGTCTCAAGGTGCAGCCATTTTCCTACAAATGCCTCAAGTTGATCTTTCTTTACGATAGAGTAGTACTTCATCTTGGATAAATGCCACATTTTCTTTCTCCCTTCATCTGGCGATGGGCGTACAGGCTGCTTCCTTCCAAGATTTAGCTGTCACAAGTTGTGCTGCTGTAACATAGGTGCACAACCCCCGCCCTGCTGAGGCCCAGTGCACACAGGTGTGTGCCCGATAGCCACATGAACGGGTTACTTCAGCCTGGCACCAACCACTTCGTCGCCATCTCCCATTAGTTTCCTGCCTGAGACAGATTCTTGACACTGAGACATGGGCATTTCCCAGCCTGGCATCTACAAAACGTCTGTTAGGATGAGTCATTGTAGCAGGTATTTTTAATTGATTCTTACTGATTTCATTTTCAAAAGGGGTCTGTTTCTAAGCAAACCCTTTTCCATACTGATAACTACCAATTTGTCTAAAGGAATTAAGGGGTCTAGGATCATACAGAATTCTCCTTATGGGGCTGGGGATGTACCTCAGTGGCACCACGCCTGCCTGATAAGTGGAAGGTCCTGAGTTCAATCCCTGGTACTGCCAAAAAAAAAGAATTCTTGTAGGTCACCAGGGCAAGCTTAAACCAACTTTATTTCATTGATGAGCCACGGTAATGATCGGTAGAGGAAGGACTTTTAGTGCAGACTCACTGGGTGCCCCGTGCTATTTAAGCACTCCCATGCAGCGTTCCTCATTTGGCAGATGAAGAAACTGAGGCACGGAAGAATAGAAACTGATGGAGCCTGACTCAGAGGCTACTGTCTAAATCCACTGCCTCTAATTCGAAGATCCATCTCAAAGGTCAGACATTACAGCAGAGTGGCCTTAAGTCACACAGCAACCTGTGAGGCCTCGAGCAGCTGCCTGCTGCATGCCAAAACCTCCCAAGGGCTTCTAAACCCAGCCAGGCATGAAGCAACCACTGTGATAGGCCAACACTGGGGACTCTGATGATGGGCCAGCAGGATAGCTTTGTACTACTCTTACATTTCTACAGGTCTGAAATTATGCCAAAGTAGAATTTCAAGAAAAACTAGAATATTATTAGTTGACATGGAGGGATTTCCACAGAAATCAAGTGTTAATGGCAAGATCCAGAAAGACGGGGGTAATGCAATTTTATTTTTGTGAAATAAACAATGACATAATCTCCCTTCTCACATCCCTGTATATCCTTATATGAGGACGGAATTGAATCCGTTAAATAAATCCCAGAGCCCAGCCTCCAGGGCTTCTACTTGGGTTCTTTTGAGGGAGGACTTGAGCCTGGGAGCCTTCCTCTAGAGTTCCCTGCATCGGGGTTCTTAACTTTGCTACACATTAGTCACCTGGGAAGCTTTTGAAAGTCCCGATGCCCAGGCCACTGCCCACTGAATCAGACCTGCTAGCAGTAGAGCCCAGAACTGGCATCTCCAATATACATTCAAATCTGAGGACCAGGTAGGGCTGTCCAGCAGGAGGGATGGAGAATCGCTGCTGGGAAGGAAGGGAACATATGTGTAGACCACCACCAGGTAACAGGTGGGATGTCCCTGTAGGTCCTTGAGACAGTTGGCAAGCTGGGACCCTGGGAAAACAGGGGTTGGCTCCAGAGGTCAAGCAACCTGCTTCCGGTTTTAGAGCCGGGAGTCAGCGGTGTACACTCTGAGCCATGGCTACCTCAGACAACTGCGGCTGAAATTCTTCCAGACTCATTCCTTTGGGTTCCTCCTCCAAGAGTTACTAAAAACAACAGTGCTCAAGGACTTGGGTTCAATCCTCAGCATTGCAGAAAAAAAACTGGACAAGAAGCAGCAGCAAATATCCCGAGGAGAAGCTGCATGACAAGCAGATCTCAGCATGCACCCAGAAAGCACTGGATGTTTTCCAGTTAACCTTTTGTTGTTTTTGGTATCGGGGATTGAACTTGGGACCTTGCGCTTTCGAGGCAGGCGGTGGAACCACTGAGCTAAATCCCTGGCCCAGTGCTCAATGTTTTGAAGGAAGGTGAAGTCTGGAAGATGCTCAAACGTGGAAAAGCAATATAATGCATGGTCTTGTCATCCCCTTCCCAAGATCCCCCCAGTTCTTATTAAAACGCCAAGTGTTTGTCCTGCCTCTGGGCCTTTCCCGTCAGGGGAGACTTTTCCGGAGAAACTTTCAATGAGATTTTAGATGTTCTGTTTTCCAATAAGAGGAAGGCCTGCTTCTCAGGACAGAGGCCACAAGAGAGGTGTGCTTTGGCAAACACTGCCCAGTTAGTGTGTTTAGGGCATGTGGCAGGAAAGCTGAATTTAGTGTCTTTTGGGCTAAGGCAGGGATCTCTATCCCAAGGGTCTGGAAACTGGGTGGAAGGGAGACCTGGTGCAGGAGTCAGAAAACCAGCCTTGGAGTCCTTCCAACAGTAAAATGAGGACTGGACGATGACTCCCTTCAGTTATGTAGGACACGAGTGAAGTGTCTACATCACACCCGGCAGACCCCCAGCAGGCGGGGGACAGCGCATCAACATCACAGGCTTGCTAGGTAATCTGGGGCCTGAGCTGGGTGTGAGCTCCATCTCTACTGTTGGTGAACTTTCTTGAGTGCTAACTTTTCACAAGCCATGTGCTACTTTAGGTTCTTCCAGGAGTGAAAGCCTGAATGCTTGTCATCATCCCCATTTCCTGAGCCCCAGAGGGGTCAGGTGACTTGGCCAAGGCCATGTACTTAATAGTTTGTGAACTGAACCAGGCCAACTGGCTCTACAAGCAGCTGCCTGGTCATTATAGTACCTAAAGCATTAAATCAGGATAATTAAATCACGATAACGACAATGACTGCGAGCTAATCACGTGTCAAGTGACAAACGTGTCAAGTGTTACTGGCAACTACCCCGAGGATGAGGCCTAAGCAGCTGAACGTCCTTGGGACACGACCCAGCAAGGCTGCCGAGATCAGTTATTCCACAAGGTCATTGGCGGTGATTTGAGGGAGATGGTGGAGGGCTGATGAGATCCGCAGCTTTCTCAGCCCGGCCGGCCCTTCCTCCTGCTGAGGGAATCTGACACATTTTGTACTTGGTTTCTTTTGCCCCTCCCCCACTTCCTTTTCCTCTCCTATTTTTGTGCTCCAAATCAAGGGTCAAAGTCCAGTTAGGTGTTTTGTTTTCAGGTCTTTTCTTTTTAAAAAGTTGCTCATTTGACCCCCACCACCATGACAGCTGCCCTTAATCTGAAGGCGAGCTCCTGGGGCGGGGTCAGGCTGCGGAGGTGGGAAGGGAACCCCGGGCGCCACCGAGGCACTCCGCGGTCAGGTCCGCCTGGGGCGTGCGTGGAAACGCGTCCGTGCCCTCAGCCGGCCTGAGACGCCGGCCCCGGTCTCCGCAGGCTGCGCGGACAGGGACTCCCGTGCGGTGCCACTCGGCCGCGAGGCCACTCCAGCCCCCGGCGCCCCATTTCCGCGCTGCGCGCCCGCTGCGGGGTCCGCCCTGCCCTCGTGGTCTCGGGCTGTCCGCAGCCGGGACGCGGCGCCGCGGTCCGGACCGCACGGCTCAGGTTTCCCGGGAGGCCGCGGCAGCAGAAGCGGCTTTTTTCTCCCGCCCCGCGAAGCGCTCGCTCGGCGCCCGGCTCAGCGCGCGGCGCTGCGGCCTCCGGCCCGGCGCTCGCCCGCGGGGTGCCGCCCCGTTCCCCCGCGCCGGGAGAAGGGGTGCAGAGAGCCCTGGGGCCCGCGCGGCGCCGCCCCGCCCCCGCGCGCGCACGGCCTTGAGCGCGCCCTCCCTGCGTCCCGCGGCCGCGCGCGCGCGTGCCCCTCCGTACGTCGCCGCAGCCCCGCTAGGGCGAGCGCGGGGCCGGGCGCGCAGGAGTGAAAAGGAGGCGGCGGCCGCGGCTGCGAGCGGCAGATCCCGCGCCCAGCTGACGCTCCCTGCGCCGCTCGCTCCTTTTCCGGCTTCTTCGGGACAGCAACTCCAGAAGCGCGCATTTCCGTCATGGCGCAGGCCCGGGGCCCGCGGGCGGCTCGCTGTGTGCGGAGCTGGGCTCTGGTGGCCCCGTCGGGGGCGCCGCTGGCGGCCTGAGCGCCCGTGTCCGTCGTCTCTGCGGCCCGCGCCGGCCCGCGTGTAGGCGTCGCCCGCGGAGCGCAGCGCAGCGGCTCGCGGCGGCGCGGTCGTTCTTCGCGCAGCGCGGCCGCGGAAGGGGCTCCCGCGGACGGGTCCCCGGGGTCGAGCCGGCCCGCGCACCCCAGGCCCGCCAGCGCGTCACCGGAGCTCCGCGAAGATGGAGGCCGTGATCGAGAAGGAGTGTGGCGCGCTCGGAGGCCTCTTCCAGACCATCATCAGCGACATGAAGGTAGGACGCGGCCTCCGCCCGCGACGGGTGCCGCCCTCCCTCGCCAGCGGGCGACCGCGGCCACCTGCGGGAGCGGGCCTGCCGGCGTCACCTGCTCGCCCGGCCGGCGGCCCGGTTGGGGCGCCCGCCGCCTCCCTCCCGTGGCCCTGCCCCGGGGCGGCCTCGGCGCCTTACCCTGGGCTCGGCCCTCCCCGGCCCGAGTGTCCCATTGTCTGTCCGAGGACTGCGTGTCCGCGACCCGCAGAGCCCGGATCCCCGGCGGACGCCCGATTCCCGGGGCTCCCGCGGGAAAGGGGTCCCCGCCCAGGACTAGGAGGGAAGCCTTCCTCCGAGGCTTAGGGTCTACCTGGGGGCGGGGACCCGAACAAATTAGTTATTAATTGTGCTGCTGCGGAGCCGCTGAGGGCGTGCGTGCGTGTGTGGGGGGCGCGGGCCGAAGTTGCAGAGCAGCCCTGGAGGGCCCTAAACGGAGGCTTCCAACCTGAAAGCAGGGTCGGGGTCCCCGAAACAACTGTGTGCCGCCCCTCCACACACACGCGCTCTCGCGCACGCAGCCCACTCCTGGTTTTCTCGGAAGGATCGTGGAGACCGTGTGCGCGCGCTCATGTGTTAGGGGTGGGGAACAACACCCCGGCTTTTTCCTGCAAAGGGTGGGACTGGAGATAACCTGATCCTCGGATCTCGGATGTGGATTTTCTGGAGCAGAGATAGACCAGGGCCCTGTGTTACTCATCCATAGGAAATGCCCAGCCGGAATAGCGAGCTGGAGGGGGGAATTGGGGGCGGGGGGTCGTGTGTATTTAGGGAGCTTCTCTTTGGCTCCAGTCCAGCCCGTTTGCCTCCGAGGACCCGGGGAGGTGGTGTTTAATTAAAAGCCCGGCTTCCAGAAGAGCGGGCAGGTTTGGGGAGCTCTGCGGGCGGGTGGGTGTGGACAGCCGCTCTTCAGCCTCGGCCTGGCGCCTGGAGCTGCTTTTGTCTGATGAAGTGTGAGGTTTGGAGAGGCTTCGTGCCGCGGAGATGGGCTTTCGGAAGGAATGCTCAGCTGTCACCGCCTGCTGCCCCTTTTTAGAACAGACTACCACCTCACCCAGGCTGAACTTTGCTTAGGTGCTTCCTCTTGGCCTTGTCCATTTTAAAATCCTGCGTATCTTGTGTATTTTGTCAGAAATTGACATTCACGTGGCTTAATCTGCAGCCGGACCCTGCTTGCCCAGGAATGCCTCTAATCCAGTCATTTGGAATTAGATGGATTAGGCCCTCTTCAAAGACAGCCCCTTTCATTCCTTTGCCCCCATCCACATTGAATTCCCAAGTGCTCTTTTGAACAAAGATCAGTTCCCCTTCTTTGGACTCGCACGTTTATTGTTAACTTAAATTCTGCACGCCTTATAGCCAAACAAGATTGGCTTGAGGCACACACGGTAAATTCTGATCCCAGAGGAGGAATTTGAGGTGGATGTAAAGCTGTTTGTGCTTTGTGGAGGTGAGGTACACGGATGTTACCAGTCCCTGAGTGGCAGCAAGGAGCCCAGGCCCTCAATGCAGCCCCAGAACGAACCCACCTGGCCCTTTCTCTTTGTCCTTTAATCCAGAATCCACCCCATCTCTTCCCATCCCTGGTTTGACTCCAAAGCTCTTCAGAAGGTAGTCCTTCCCCCAGGCTGGGCTCTTCTGTCTTCTGCCTGCCATGGTCCATTGCCCGATGATGTGCTCTGCCCAGAGATTTGTGGGTGCCAAGGTGTTTTTTTTGTGTGTGTGCAAAGTTCTTGTTAAAAATAAAATCGCAGCCCATCAGTACTGAGTCCAGAGTTTGTAAATCCTAAGCTCTTTCCCCTTAAGTTTGATAGGTTTAGTCAACATTCTGTGGGAAAGCATTTATTTTAAAGGTTTTTTTGTTTGTATTATTTTGTTTTGGCAGTAAAAGATTTTAAAAGGAAAATAGAGTGGAAGACTAAACTGCAAAATTCTAGACTTTTGGGAAGTAGAGGGGTAAGGGAAAAGTGGAGTGTCAGATTTCCAAGATTATTTATGCATGATACAGTGCTGAATATTTTTACAGAGTTTCTTCTCAACAGACTTTTTATGAATCAGATGGCAGTGATATTTTTAAAATAGAAGATAAGAGTTTTAAATTTGACCATGTGGGATAAGCAGCATGGAGTATACAGTTGGACGCAGTTGCCAGAAAAGCCAAGTTTTTAATACTTGGAGTGAGCTGACCTTGTGATGACTTGCTGGCCTTCTTTCCTCTCCTTTAAACTCGTGTGGCACATTTACCCTGCCTTTGATCCCTTTTCTGTTTGCTTTGAGGGAGAAGAGTTAAATGTTAGAAACTGATTTGGAATGCCATCTTGATACCGTTTTTAGGCTATTTTCTTAAAAGTCGTGTTGAACTGGGGGTGAGAAAAGAAAATGCTTTTCTAAGTAACATTTATTTCTTTAGAATGTACAGCAGCACAGGAAGGGAGTCAATTTCCTCTTTGGAGGAAAAAAACAACAACAAAAAAACCCCCCAGAAAATGGAGTAATTTCCAGGCCTGATACCATCCATCTTCTAAAACCAGAGTCTGGAGACAGACAGGGAAAGCTAGAGAGGATTCTCTGTGCCGTCCAGAGATCTTTTGCCTAGCGCAGTGCTAGCTTCCGGGTGGGTGTGCTTTCTCCTTTCAGGAGTGTGTAAGGAAGAAACCCTCGCTTCCCCTGGGATGCAGCACAGTGTAAAATGAGCAGCAGCTGTTAAGTAACTTGCTGCTCCCTGAGGAGAGGAAACTTGGCGTTTTCCTTTTCTCCACCTGTGGTGATGATGCTCACTAGTAAGTGCGGCGTACACAATCGGTGTAAGTCACCCATCCAGTTGCTGGTGTGTGTTGGTCCCAGAGGGAGGGGAGACCAGAACTATGCGTGTGGCTGGGACCACATTAAGGAGGGCCTGGGATTTTTTTTTTTTTCCCCACGTTCTAGGAAGGACGGGCTAAATCCTGTAAACAGATTTGTGTTGTTGCTTTTAAGTAATTGAATCAGCATCTGGTGGTGGTGAGGGGTTTTTAAGATGAGGGGGCTTTGCTTTGCTGACCAAACCTGGGGACACTTCACCCTGGGGCTGTCTTTTAATAATTAACTTTAAAAAAAGTTGAATGCTAAAATCAAATATTTTCCTTACTGCTCTTGCTTAAGCCTCAGAGTCGGGAGCTGAGTTGGGTCACTGCAGGAGCACTTTGCCCTGGGTGAGCAGAGTACTCAGGCTGATATAAAGTGACGGGTGGAAAGCAGCCAAGCACACCTGCTGCTCCTTGCCCCGTGTCAGTGTGGGCAGGGGTGTCCTGTTACCGGCACCTGCAGGCAGCAGAATGGAGGCCTTGTTCAGTTCCTCCTGCCGCACTCACTTCCTTTGGCCGCTGGTGTCCTCTATCCTAAGTTCTGACTGAAGTTAGAACTGTGAAGGGACTTCTTGGATTCCATGGAGATCTCTGTGGCTCAAAAGCATGTCATGATGTTTTCCCTCACTTAGCATGAGATCAGGAGTGTGGGTAGTGGGTCCAGTACTGTATCATAATTGCAGGCCCATTGGTTTCCCTTGTGCAGACTTGGGGTTCCGGTCGGGAGAAATCTTTCCTTCCTTGGTGCTAATTGAGGGCCTACTCTGAGGAAGGTCTCTCGCTAGGCCCTGCCCTGGAGAGCTGCTTACCCTGAGGGCTTACAGCACACAAAGGCAGTACAATATGAGGCCTTGCAGAAAGGCTGTGGCCCTGCAGGCCTTCCCTCTGATGCTGCAAACAAATTCTCCATAGTACTGAGAACCCAGCCAGGGGCCAGGTACTGTCTCTGAGGGAGGTGGGCTGTACTGGAAACACTGATAGCCACACAAAGACGAAAGTGGCGTCCTTGTAAGGGCAGATGGGCCCCGTGTTGGCTTCTCTCTTAGCAAATGGCTGTGTTTGGCCAGGGTTTTACAGCTTCCTCATTTGGGGCCTGTGGGACAAGGAGGAAAAGATGTCATAAGGTCGTCAGCAGGGAACTGCCTGGAATGGGTCTTATCCAGAGATTAAGGGTCGCTGCTGTGGAGATCAGTCTTCTGGTGCAGTGTTTCTGGGGAAAATCCCTCAGAGACCTTATTTAATCAGATTGTTTAGAATTTGTTGGATGCTGTGAACCTTTATGTTCTGAAATTCTGTGATTCGTGATGTCCGAGAGAGAGGAGGTTGTTCCTAGGTCACAGTTTGCATGGGAGGGAAGCTTAGTGGGCTTTGGCCGAGTTCAGCAATCACCACATTCAATTTTTTTTCTTTGGTACCAGGGATCGAACGTGGGTCCTTGCACTTGCACAGCAGGCAGCGAAACCACTGAGCTAAATCCCCGGCCCACCACGTTCATTTCTCGAGTAATGTGTTCCTGTTCTGTAGTATTTGTTATCAACCGAGTTGTATCCAACCAAACTCTGCTATGATTTAAGTAAGTAAAAATACGGCATTCCCACTTAAATTTTGCATTTCACATGATGAACAGAGATTGTTTTTCGTTGTGTGTCCCGTACAGGCTGTGTCTTTTCAGCTGCTGACTGCTTGCCCTTTGACCTCTTCTTTTGGATCTTGGCTGTAGAGAAAAGAAAAAAGCTAAAATTATATTTGTCAGTTTGGCTAGTTCATTTGAGGTTGTTAAAATGCTTGCAGGGTGAAAAGGTTGAAACTGTTGATCCATTAGATGCTTTATATATCATTTTATCTCGCCTTTTCTGTCTTTGCAAGGACAGTGGCAGCTGGCAAGAGGCCTTTTGCAGTGAGACCATTTAGATGTTCAAATTAGGTATGGAAAAATGAGATCATTTTGAGTTTCCCATTACTTCTTGGAACTGCCTTGAGGAGACTTTCCCCCCAAATCTACACCTCTGCAAAAACAGAAATAACACTCCTGTAACTGAACAAGAGCCAAAAAGACATACTTCTTTGCATACGGCATCAGTCAAGACTACTTGGGGCATCTTAAACTGAACTACCGGTCCCTTG